TTTTTCTTTGTTTGTTTGTTAGTTTTTATCCTGTTGTATTCTTCAGGTCTAGTATTTCTGCTTGGTTCTTTTTTTATTTCTATTTATTTATTAAACTTCTTAATTTATTCATCATTGTTTTTCTGATTTTGTTAAGTTGTCTACCTGGGGTTTGTTTTTGTTTATTTTCATTTCATTGGGTTTCTTTAAGATGCTTATTTTGAATTATTTGTTCGGCAAATTGTAGATCTCCATTTCTTTGGGATTGGTTACTGGACCTTTATTATTTTCCTTTGTTGGTATCATATTTGCCTGATTCTTCTTTATCCATATATACTTGCATTGGTGTCTGTGCATTTAAAGGAGTAAGCACCTGGTCTAGTCTTTACAGACTGATTTCAGCAGGTAAACATTTTCTCCTGCCTATTCCCCAAGCCAATGGGATTACCTCTAGAATTGCACTCAGGCTGGGTTGTCACTAGTTTTGAGGCTGGATCTGTAGCAGGTCTGTTACAAGGAGCTCAACTTAGGCAAGGATGTCTGATTCCTGGTTGCGGGGACTATTGTTGGTCAAATGTCCATGTCAGGGTCCACCCAGATGGGTCTCTGAGTGGGAAGGATGGACTCTGGACCATAGCTAAGAAGACACATATAAAGGATGTCTTATTTGGCCATTTTAAGGGCATCACTTAAATTAATTTTTTTAAATTTTGTTTTATTGCTTAAAATATTACAAAGAGTAGTACATATGTCTCCTTTTTTCCCCCTTCTGTTCATTTTTTGTGGCACCTGGCAATCAGAATCTCTCAAAAGTCATGGGAAGGGTAAATCAATGACTATATTTGAGTTTATGAAGATTATTACAAACTGTGTACACCAGCTGTTTTCCAACTCTATGGTGAACATAATTATAAATGATAGTTTAAGTTTGAGAATATGCAATTTAGAGAATAAAGTTTAGACTAGGAAATATACCCTTGCACTATCCTGTTGTGACTATTTTTCAATTACAGTTGACATCCAACATTGTTTTGTGTTAGTTTCAGGTGTATAGCACAGCAGTTAAACATTTATATAATTTGCAGTGTGATCCCTCAGGTAATTCTAATACCCACCTGATACCACACATAGTTATTACAATATTGTTGACTATATTCCCTATGCTGTATTTTACATCCCCATGACTGTTTTGTAGCCAATTATTTCTTAATTCCTTCACCTGTTTTCACCCATTCTCCAACCCTTCTCCATTCTGGCATCCGTCAATCTGTTTTCTGTATCTATAAGTATGTTTCTTCATTTCGTTTGTCCTTTATATTCACATATAAATTATATCATATGGTATTTGTCTTTATCTGCCTGGCTTATTTCACTTACCATAATGCTCTCTAAGTTCATCCATGCTGTCGCAAATGATGCCTAGCTAGTTTGGAGCTATTTATAATTTGAGTCGTCTTTAAGAGATCACAAACCTATTCTTTAAAAAAACTTGACATAACTTTGTTGTTTTTACCTATCATTATAAAAATGTCATTTTTAAAGTTTCTCCAGTACATGAAGCTCATACAGATTATTCAATATATGCTCTTATAGATATTTTTAAAATATATTTTTTTATTTATTTCAGAGAGGAAGGGAGAGGGAGAGAGAGATAGAAACATCAATGATGAGATAGAATCATTGATGGGCTGCTTCCTGCTTGCCCTATCTGGAATTGAACCCGCATCCCAGGCACGTGCCCTGACCAAGAATCAAACTGTGACCTCTTGGTTTATAAGTCAACACTCAATCACTGAGTCACACTGGCAGGGCCAGATATTTTTTTAAATCTAAGAGATGTTACCCAAGATTCATCTTCAGCTGGTAATTGAGAAAAATGAAGATTCCTTACCCATATGATTTCGAGTCAGAATATATTGGTGAATTTAGTATGGTATTTGTCATGGTTTTGGAATCTGATTAGTTTTAAATTCAGAGTTTGATTTTGGTAGTAAATAAATGCCTAGCCCATCGTTGCACTGATGTAGACTCTTGGGAAAGAGAAGAATTGCTCTCAATCAAGGGTTTCATTGATTTGAGGATGCTGATGCAGCTGTTTGCAAGGGGCTTTTAGTCACATTTACTCCCAGGATAATCTGCATATGAACAATTTCTTTTTATCTGTTATTGGCTTAAATGCTATAAATTAATCCATATGACATAAAGAGATAGACAACTGACTGAGGCCATAACAGCAATTCCTGAGGTTCATTTAAGCTATTGTAGTTACTGCATATATTACTCTAGGCAAGAGTCTATCCCCTCTGTGATGAAAGTGTATTTCTGCTATTTTATTGAGAGCAAATTCCCTATCATGTAAGGACCAATTATCATAGAGCTGGAGCTACAGTGTTCATGTTTTGTGGTGTTCTCGTTAATTACCTAACAGCTAACTGTAGCTCTTTGGTGTCTATGTATCCTGTCCCAAAAAGAGTTCCTCGAAGTGTGGTCTCTCAATCAGCAATAGCATCACCTGAGAGTTTCTTATAAATGTAAATTCTCAGGACCTATTTTAGACCTACTGAATGAAAAAAACTGTATTTAACAAGCCCTCCAAATTGTGGGCATTGATGGTCAAGTATGAAAACCACTTTTCTAGAGAAGTTTACAGGGAATCTAAGGCCTTCCCTTGAGTCACAATGAGAAATTACATTTCAAGACTATTCGAAAGGAGTCTTGCTAAACTCCAACCCCTCACCTCCTAGCAAATCCTTGCAGAGCCCATCTAGGCAGCATGGTGTGTGTACCACCAAAGCCTTCTCTCAAAGGAAATGGTCCAGGCCTTGAGAAAATCTATACACTGGCTTTACGGTATAAGCCATATGATACCCAAATGAAAGGGCATTCATTCATTTAATCATCTGATGTATGTGAGCATCTACTAAGCTCTAGTTACATTATCTGAGTCAAGAATCTTTTGGTCAAAGAAAGAAGATAAGATGTAAGCACAATAATGTTATATATGGGAAAAGAGATCACCCCACACTCAGAGACATCAAACTCAAATTCAAAGGAAACAAATTGCATATTTAGTTGCTGAATTTGATAATAGTCATAAATATTTTTCAGCTATCATAAACATAATCAGTGGTGAGTTTTGAAAAGATAAATTTTGTGACTCTATGTGGAATGGGCCAGAAGTAGTAGGAAGACCCACTAAAAGTAATTATAACAACTGAAAACAAGTACAGCCTGATCTAGGATGGAAGTAGACTCAAAAGGGTTCTTACTAGTGAATGGCTATGAGATTGTTGGTAAATGAAAAGGGATAAGTGGAACATATAGATAAAGTTTGGAGACTAAGATTTTATGTTATTAAAAGATCAGCCAAAGGACATGTATACATGCATATAAGCCTAACCAATGGACACAGACAACAGGGGGGTGAGGGCATGAGTGGGGGGTGGAGGGGCAATAGGGGGATAAAGACACATATGTAATACCTTAATCAATAAAGAAATTAAAAAAAAATAAAATTAAAGTAAAATAAAAGGTGAAGATGGGAAGCTTGTTATTTTGTGAGCAAGTTGAATGTAGGGTACATAATGAACATTCATTCAAATTAAGGGGCCCAAGTTATAGGTAGAACTAGAGGACTACTGATAGTTAATGAGAAGAAAACAGAATTGGACATGTAAGGGAGACATCCACACAGAAGTGATTGTTAATGTTATGTGAAGAAAGGAGATTTTTTAAGGGAAAGTGGGTTGAAAGAAAAATGAAACAGGGTATAGAAAACATCTTGAGAAATTATAGTGTTTATGAGTTGGAAGAGAGGCATCCATGGAAGAGGCAGAGGAACCAGAAACAGTGTCATGTAAGCAAAAGTGATATCCAGCTGGAACTTACCAGTATTGGTGGAGCAATTGTTACATTTCTTCTGAGTCATCAGTGCTCTGTTCTTATTGGTGTTCAGATTGATCTAGTTTTCAAATATTTTTAAGCTTAATAGGTCAAAGCTTAAAAAGGGCAAAGAATGAGGATCCAGTCATTACAAATCCTAGATTTGGGCAAACTTTAACACTTTATAGAACTTTCTGGTAAACTAGAAGAGAACAGCTTCCAAGAAAGAAAATAGTATGTGCATGAAATCACTCTACTATCTACAGTCTGGTTTAAGGAGCCCTCCCTCTTAATAAAGACAGTAATTAGAACTGAGGTGAATTATGAATTCTGATATCACATCCTGAAAAAGATATTGATGAATGAGAGACTATCCAGAAGATAACTGACTTCTTGTTCTTAGAAACAATAAATGAGAAATCTGGGATGTTTATCTTAAAAACTTTGAGAGAAATTCATTGATGCATGGTAGTGTCATCAAATATTTGAAGGATTCTTATGTAAAAATGGGGAAGAATGAGGAAAGGAACAGATTTTAGAACCAAGTTTTATTCATTTACATTGTAATTTTTTATTCTTATTTTCAAACTGATTAAAATGATGAGAAAATAATTTGACAGCACATTACATGTAAAATACAGTCCCATAATTCAAGAACCAACTTCTGGTAAAAATTAAATAATCCACTGTCAAGCAACTCGCAGTTTTTTTTTTTTTCTCTCTCTCTTTTTTTCAACAGGGTAAAATGACTAAAGGCGGGATTAATTGAATGTACCACTATTTAGAATAAGAACACGCTATCCAAATATGTGGCTTTTTATAAGCAGCCAAGATTCTCTATGATGTGTGCATCAAAAATGCTAGAAGTTAACATATTATTATTCTTTTCATTGATTTTTCTCCTACTGCCCTCACAACAGCAACAACAAAATGAAAACATGATCCCTTACACCTCCAAATTAGTTCCAGAATAGTTGGCATTATTGAATTGTTATTGAAAACTAACGAAGGCTTCTTTCATTCATCCCTCAGAAGTGAAACATTTGGAGATGTTTGTGAAAAGAGGTGAATGTTTTCATATCCTATTATTTCTTTTGTAAAACAGTGACTTCAACTTTACTCTGTAATGTTTTTGACAGACAATAAAGATTATGACGCATACTTGTCCTACACCAAAGTGGATCCTGACCAGTGGAATCAAGAGACTGGGGAAGAAGAGCGCTTCGCTCTTGAAATCCTACCTGACATGCTTGAGAAGCACTATGGATATAAGTTGTTTATACCAGACAGAGATTTAATTCCAACTGGAAGTAAGTGCATGTTTTCATTCGCATCTTCTTGTGTCTATCTGTGTAGTCATCATTTTTAGGCAGAACTTGACCTTTTGGTTCTTCATTTCAAAAACGGTATGTGTCAGATTGTTAAGAAAGAAATGTTATGTGTTCATCTGAAACTTAATTGTGACACCTCTGAAGTGGTACTTCCATCATTTTATAAAGCATCTCATTTTGATGAGCCCTAACATGTAAATAAACCAAAGGAGAGATTTATGCCTGGAAAAATATTTCTAGCATTAAAAGAAGCAAAGCCCCTACTCTATTCAAAGTGATCATTGGCTATTTTCATCTCCTCAAGATGTTACCCAACAAACACCAATTCTCATTTAACATGTGAAAGAGAATCTTCCAGGGCTTTCTGGACCACATTTTGGATTTACTCATTCTGATCACTCTTTTCTCTTTTGTAGCATACATTGAAGATGTAGCAAGATGTGTAGATCAAAGCAAGCGGCTGATTATTGTTATGACCCCAAATTACGTAGTCAGAAGGGGCTGGAGCATCTTTGAGCTGGAGACCAGACTTCGAAACATGCTTGTGACTGGAGAAATTAAAGTGATACTAATTGAATGCAGTGAACTGCGAGGAATTATGAACTACCAGGAGGTGGAGGCCCTCAAGCACACCATCAAGCTCCTGACGGTTATTAAGTGGCATGGACCAAAATGCAACAAGTTGAACTCTAAGTTCTGGAAACGTTTACAATATGAAATGCCTTTTAAGAGGATAGAACCCATTACACATGAGCAGGCTTTAGATGTTAGCGAGCAGGGGCCTTTCGGGGAGCTGCAGACTGTCTCGGCCATTTCCATGGCTGCAGCCACCTCCACAGCTCTAGCCACTGCCCATCCAGATCTCCGTTCCAATTTTCACAACACGTACCATTCACAAATGCGCCAGAAACACTACTACCGAAGCTATGAGTATGATGTACCTCCTACTGGCACCCTGCCTCTTACCTCCATAGGAAATCAGCATACCTATTGCAACATCCCTATGACACTCATCAATGGGCAGCGGCCACAGACAAAATCCAGCAGGGAGCAGAATCCAGACGAGGCCCACACAAACAGTGCCATCCTGCCACTGTTGCCAAGGGAGACCAGTATATCCAGTGTGATTTGGTGACAGAAAAGCAAGGGACATCCTGTCCCTGGGAGCTTGAGTAGAGTCTGCAGTCCAGTGCCTGGAACTAAATCCTCGACTGCTGCTGTTAAAAACATGCATTACAATCTCTAGAACACGAGGAAAAACAGGGTCTTGTACATATGTTTTTTGCAGTTTCTTTGTAGCATCGATGTCTTGTTGTTTTACCACGTCTCTTACTCATTACATTTTTGACTTTGTTTTATATGTCACTGGAATTTGTAAATTTACATTTTTTTAAAGAAGAGACTTATGTGTAGATAGAAAACCCTTTTTTGCTTCATGAGTTTAGTTTTAGAAGGTGTTTCTTTTCCTTTTCTTGATTTTGTTTTGCTTTTAACATTTCCTTGGGGTGCTTGGACAAATCCATCTGATGGGACAAGGAGCACCGGATCCTCTCTTGGGTTCTACCTAGGATCAGCAGGGCCACGCGGGCCTTCAGAGAGCAGTGCACCGACTGCCAGCATTGCCATTTGAGGGGAGAAAAACAAAGAAGAGAACACTTGCTCATAGGATGGCCCCGCCAATCAGAGCCCTCAATCTTTTCCTTGTCCCACCTCATTTCCCACCTCTGCCCTTCTAATGGCGGCATGATGTGTAAATTCTGAGGAAGGGTGGGGGTGGGTCTAACTGTCTTAACATTTAATTCACTGCTGGTCAGAATACACTCCAGACCCAAAAGTGTGCTAGTCACTTAACAGTGACCACTACAGCGTGCTAAGGATAAATATACAACAAAACAAACAAAAAAACAAAAACAAAAAACAAAAAAACAAAAAACAAAAAAAAAAAAAAGTAAGCCCTATATTTGATCACTTCCTGGAAAGGCATGAATGTGTTTGTGGCTGGTTTTGTTTGATATTCTACTTCCTCTTTTCCCTCTGTATTTTTTTCTGCAAATGAGATTATGTGCAAATGCCTGGCAAGTTAACTCAAAAGGGTGAATCAAACAGAAGTCAAAATGAAATTTACATTGAAGGCTTCCAAACCAAAGGGAAGAACAGGATGTGTCATCAAATATGTTTTGTCACCTTGTATTATACAAAATGTTATTTTCTAAAGAGTCAGAACAAATCTGTGAAACTTATTATGGGGTTCTCTTGTATTAAATGTTAATTCACTGTATTTAATTTTCAATACTACATACAGAATCCAGTGTTTGGTTTCAGTTTGTGAACATAAGTAACACTTATTAATATCCAAGTGTTTAAGTAAGAACTCAGGAGGTCAAATATATGAATACCTAGAGAAATCAGTATTTTCAAAATAAACATTATTTACACAAAATTGTTTTTAAATTAGGTAAGAACGTGTTTAAATAATTTTATTGTATAAAAATTAGTTTCATTTTAACTGTATAATTCTATCTTTCAGAAACAGAAAGCTGATGCTCCCAGGAAATCCCTCCCTACTGTGTAGCTTTATGTTTGAAATCAGTAACATAAGCAGCTAATATATATTTATGTTGAAGATAATGCAAAATCTGTCATACTGAAACTTGCAGAGGGCAGAATTGTTAAAGGGAAATATTACCTAAGTAGCTTTTAGTTTTAAAAAAAATCAATGTGATGAAAATACTGATAATAGAACTTTTACATTACTTTAGTGATTCATTATAGGAACTTCCATTCTAGTCATTGTCTGTGGGCTGGTGTAGTGACTATTGTATGTTTGGTTTGTTCCTACCACCATATAATAAGAAAACAAGTCTACAGTTTTGGTTACTATTCTAACGTGTGAGTTGGCCACAAAAAAAAGTGTAAACTTCTATATAATTCATCTGGGAGGGTAAATTTGAATTTCAAATGTACAAGAGATAAGTATAAGAATTTTGTAATAATATAAAGGCCTCAGTAAGCCTTGGGATGTGCATTGATTTTTATTTGCTTAAAAAATGTTTATTTCTCTGAAAACTCACCTCGGTTCTTCTCTAGAATGTGCTCTTTATTCCCATGTTCCCTTTGGATCTGTGTCACATTTTCAGAACTGAAGCTGCAAGGACACAAACTTTAAGGTCAGCTCTGCACATTGGGTTATTTTCAGAATCCAAGAAAGCCATTGTTTACTTGTACTATGGACACCTGTCAAAGACTGGTGGCAGTGCACCTCATTGGACTGGATTCCAGACTCCCTCAGTGCTCAGAAAACTGTAAACATGGCAATGGCCTGGTCTATGTATTTTTCATTTTTTATTTTTTTAAGTGCACGATGGAAGTGTGGAATAAATGTAGAGGAAGTAATCACACCACAGTCATATTTTAGGCATCCATAGGCGTTAATTTAGCTGCCTTCGGAGTACATTTTTTTGTTCTATTTTTAGTGTAGATTTAAGCACTTTGAATAGCATGATTCAGGGATTGATGGGTAATATTTGATATTCTCACAACGTAAGAAACATTTTTCCTCTAATGCTTTGTCATATTTTTTAAAAAATGAAATAAATGGGGAAGCTATCTATGGCTTTAGAAACATTCCTCCCAAGTATTCCTCTATCAGCTCTATGTGAGAACAAATGAAGGAAACTGTCATGTGTTCACGTGCTGTGTATTTAACAAAATTTATATTAGAACTCACAATAAAAACAGAAAAAAATGTATTTTCCCTAGTGCTTAGGTTTCATCCTTCTCTTTTTTCTGTGGGGGCTGTGGGAGATAAGCATATTCTATTTTTAAAAACACATTCGAAAGTGTGAATATGTTAGCCAAGCCAAGGAACAGAATGGTCTTGTGGACTTGGACATGTGTGATATTTGGTATTGCCTGTTTTTCAGCCATCACTGCTCAGGCTCCAAGTGACACATTATGGGTTCAAGAGTTCATCTGGTTATTTAATGTAACCTCTACTTGCTGCCTATGCGTGTCCTACCCTTTATACTGGTGCTCAAATCTTTGATTATTTAATTTATAATTCATTCCTTAGGTTTCCTATAGGCAGAGAAAAAAATTGTATCTCATGCAGCCAACTGATATAAGTTTAGATTTTTCTATGAAATAAATCTAAGACACAATGAGTTAAGAGACCTGAACCTACTATATTTCTATATCAAAACACCCAATCAACCATTTTGTGTTTATTACTTTCTCCCTAATATATGTATTTGAACCCTATGACTTAATCTTAAATATCTAGATACTGGCTTCTTCTTTATTTCTTTATTATTTAGTATTTTATAATGAGGAAATATTAACAGAGAGCCAACCCCTAAACTCTAAGTAAGTTTTGTTTACCCTAGAATAGTCATTAACTTTGACAGGTACCATTAGTGTAAATTAAGATCACCATTTCTAGGAAAACATTAATTCATACATTTGTAAATTATTTTCTGATTCTAGAATGATACCCTAGTTCTTTTTCTAAGAAGTATTTTTTTACCTTGTGCTTAATTTCTTTTTTTCTTAAACTTAGTTTAAGCTTATATAATTAGTCCCAGAAGAAAGCTTATTGAAATTCAAGGGAAACTATTGATATTATACAAGTGAAATAACTGAATGGAACTAAGGTAATACACAGACACAGAAAAGGAAAATCCTTGTCTCTAATATGAACTTGCTTGGTCATTATTCCCATTATTGTCATAATTGGTTAAGAGAGGTGAAATATTAAATGGGTTAGAAATCCCACCTACAGACACATATTCCCCATCACTGAAGAATTTTTTACGATATATACAGTTATTTCAAAAATGAATAATGCAACTGAGTTCCCTGAAAAAGGAGCTTATCAGTGGAAGCAGAGCTGTTCCTTGCCCTATCACAAACCCTTTCCACCTTATTGTTCTGAGTAAAGAAAATAACCAATCAAATTTTGATTATCCTTAATAATAGACCTTAATCTTGGGATGAGGGACCAGTTGAGTCTATAAAAAAGAATAAAGGAAATAATGAAGTCCTTGAAATTCCAGACAAAATTGTGAATGTGTGCAAAATTATGTTTTCCTGGATGTCAGAGTCAAAGACATCCATCACCTAAAAAGCAATTGATGTTTGGATTTAGGCCATATTCTCAGACTATCATTAAGATAAACCACATATCTTGCAAGCTCTGTTATGGGTACTATTCCTCACCTTCATTCATAAAAATTCACTGGATGCTTATTGTTCTTTTAACAAACAAAGGCAGTTCCTCGTCCAATATGACCCGACGTATGGGCAATTTGTGAGATAAACTTTGTATGATGACAAGCAATTCATGCCCAGATAATTGAGAACTGACTTACTATTACTATGATAGTTTACTCATTTCTTAAGTTGCTCAAAAGATAATTTGGGGAGAATGTGAAATCATGTAATTTGGCATGATGCCTTATTTCATTAAACTTCTTTATGATTTGGGTTCAATCATGTTTCCTACACAAAAGTAAAAATGAATCCAGTACAAGGGTTGAAGAAACAACCATTTGACATGCTTTTCCAAAGGGATTCAGTTTTGTTATGCCAAGATTTAGAATTGGTGATATACTTGGTTTTCAGCAATTGAGCTTTTACCAGGTTCAGGATATCTGATATGACTTTGGGGCAGTATAAATTTTGAGAATAAACTGAATGAAGTGGTTATTTAAAGTTTTCCTTTTTATTCATGATTGGCAGCAAGGTGACATTTTGTGCTATGTTGATAATTAAGATACAAGGAGCTGTCAGAACTAAATTTGAGTAAAGAGAAGGATGATGATGAGTTAATCCTAATCTTAAAACTGCATGTTTTATCATTAAACTTCAGTCACATGCATAGAAAATGCCCAGACTAAAAAGAAAGAACTCAGCTCAAATCTTCCATTGAGCATTATTTCTTCCTTCCAGGCTTAGAATACAAAACATATTACCATTACAACATTACAGACACATAAGATATCTAAAAGAGAAATTTCCTTCTGACTCTTAGTAAATGTCTCTCTGAATAGTCTGTGAATCCACTGACAAACTCGTTTCTGAATTGTTCATAAAAGTAAGTAAAATAAGGCACTATTGTTTTTCTACCATTCACTATGCTCATTGATGCATTCCCTACGGCCCACAGCCTGAAAGTATTCTCTTTCTAACAAAGGCAATCATTGTCAGTCATTACATTGTATCCCCCCAAAAAAAAACTAAATGAAGAGAAACTGAAGAAGTATACATGAACTTGAGACTATTACATGTAATATTGATGTTGTGTAAATTTCTTCATAGTCCAGATAACCTTAAGTTTCAAAGGGCATGCTTGTCATTAAAAAATAAAGATTTCATGTAAAATGACTTATTACATAGTGCATGAACATGTGGCAAAGTCAATTGGATCTATCCTTACTAGTCAATGAGAGACTAAATTTGGGAAGATTAGATGTGAGTGTTTTAGGATAATTCTCAACTGGGATGAAGACAGCTTTATATTAGAATACATGGACAGTTGTCCATAATCTTTGCAGCATATGCTTCTGGTAACTAGAATCCTTGGTGTGTTCTTTCCACCAAAGTAGTGGAGATATGTTCATGTAATCTGCTATTGAATTGTAAAGACTTTTACATTTTCAGAATTTGAGGGAACCCAAATAGGAAAGTGAATTGAGTCATTTTTCTCTGCTGGTGTTCAAGTCAAATTTTAAACTCGGACACTCTCAGATATGTTCAACAGTCAGTAAAAAGTGCATTTTACATAGTGTTTCCCTTTAGTTTTGCTTACCCTCTTTCCTCTTTGATTTTATATAATCTAGAATGTATGTAACTCATGTGTAGGTGATGGA